AGCGCGGCTCCCGCAGGCGTAGCGGGGCCGGGGGGCACCGGCGGTGACAGGGGCATGGCCAGGGGCTCCCCAACAGCTGGGAGAGAGTGGGCACGAGCACCCAGCCCCCTCCGTGTCCATGCTGGTGCCACGGGGATGGCTTTGCAGCTGCCAGCCCCTGGGCTCCCCGAGGCTGTGAGAGGAGACCCCCAGCCCCCAGCCAAGCGCATTCTGAACGTTTCCATGCAAAGGGGGCCTTGGTGTTTGCAACTACCAGCAGAGGTATTTAACAAACACTGGGTTATTTAGTGTATACACAAAAGGCAAACAGACTTCTCAGATGACTAGTCCTCAAAGAGACTCCGAAAGTCCCCAACTTTGCTAAATCAGAGAGAACATCACTGAAAAATCAGAGAGAACATCACTGAAAAAAAAGTCGCCAAGGGTGCTTCTGTGGGAGGTCGGCTGGACAAGCAGGGCTGTGCTCTCGCTCCACTTCACGGGGACTCTGAATACAAGCTGGCAGTGATTAGCCAGAAAACTTTGACAAGAGGAGTTTTGTATCAGTAAATCCCATTAAAGTTGAAGCTTCAGCCTCGCTAAGGAGCCTGCCCTGGCTTCCCCCCGGACGGCGTGCCTCCCCCAGGCCTGCGGCTCGCCGTCCTTCTGCCTCGCCGTGCGCATAGGAGGGGAGTGACACCAGTGGCAAAAATAGCTGCACCCATCCCCTCGGCTGAAGCAAAAAATAACCCCTTCCTCCCGCTCTTTAGGGCAATCAGAATACACTTGACCCAAAAGTGGTGCCGTGCTGAGCAGAAGAGGCTTGTTTGGGGAGCACGAGGTGCAGGAAAGGAGCGTTGCGGGCGAAAAGCCTGGCTTTGGAGGCTTTGGAGGCTTTGGATGTTTGGAGCAGCCAGACAAACCGAGCAGCTGTCCCCTTGCACCCTGCTCGCTGGGCCCTGCTGGAAGCACAACGGTGGCTGAAGCATCCCAAAGCACACGAGCTCAGGCATCCACCCACCTTCAGAGCCGCCCGTTTGGCCATCGCTGGGGGGGGCAGTTTGAGTTCGTGGTCCCGTGGTACCCCAGGGCTTTGATGAGGATGGGGCTTGGGGGAAGGTCGCAATTCAGATGCATAAATTGATACGGTAACTTTGTCAAGGCACCAGACAAGTCAGAGGTCTGGCAAACAGACCCAAGGATACAGACAGAAGAGCTGAGTGCCTTTTACGAGGACTCCCCCCAGGCACGTAAGCCCAACTGGTCCCAACGCTGCGCAAACCCCCACGCTGAGGAGCAGGGGTGTGAGGGGAGCCCACAGCGATTCCCACACACGAGGGCCTCCAGCAGCAGCCTCCTGAAGGCATCCCGAGGATGAAAACAAGCACCAGAGACGTACTTATCTTACAAAAAAAAAGGGGCACCAGCAGAATGCTCACAGGCGTTTCCCTTCCTCACGGGAATACCGCCAAGCTGCCAGCCCCTGGCTGCAACATTAATCTTCCTCCCCAGAAGAGAGGCGCCAGGGCAGCACGAGGAATTACCAGCATCTCGTATTATTAGCAGGAGCAGGAGGGCTCGTATGGCAAATGGAGAGCGACAACAAGGGCTGTGCTACGCGCGGGCAGACGGAGCAAACCCGGGGCACGGCCTGCACGAGGACGCCCCACACCCAGGCACAAGGGGCCCTGGGGTCCCTCCCTCAGCTTGGCTGCCGAAACCAGGGCAGAATGGGGCAGAGAAGCAGATAAACCCAAAGCAGATAAACCCACACGCTGCAGTGAAAGGCAACCGTGCGGTCAGGGAAAGGAAGGGGCTGAGGGGGCACAAGGGGTTTGGACCCAGCCAGCAGCCAGCCAGGTGCAGGAGGGACACACACCAGCCGGTGCCTGCCTACAAGCCTCCAACCCCAAAACAAAGCCCCCAGCAAACAGAGAACATCACAGGCAACAGGGGCGTGTTTGTCTTGCAGGCTTTCACGATTAAATGCCATTTGGTGAATTCGGGTTGACCGCCTCATATTTTAGCACATAGCTCCGGGGACAGCTGTTGGCTGGGGAAGGTCCCAGGCACATTTCTGGCCGGGTTTGGGATTAATTAAGACGACCGAGGAATCTCTGTCAGGTGCAGCCCCGCTCCCTGTGAAGCAGGGCAGCCTCTGCAAGTTTAACCCCCGCAGCTGAGGCCTCACGCAGCCTCCCCTCACTCTCAGAGTGGGCACACTGACACAACCCTGTGGGCACAGCCGCTCACAGCGCTCAGCACCACAGACATCGCTCCCCAGAGGCAGCACCGAGGCTTTCACGGGGCCAGGTGAAAGATTCCCTGAAGGCCAGGCACCAGCACCCACGGGGGCACAGGGAGACAGGGCCCGAGGGCCGTGCCTGGCTCCCCACCCACCCCAGCACGCCCAGGATCAGGGGCAGTGGCTGGGAAATGCTCCCGGCCCACCTCAGGCCCCTTTAGGCCAGGAGTGGCACCGTCAGGGGCAGAAGCTTCTCGCTCAGGGGACGGAGCAGCACAGTGAGGGCCAGGCCCGAGCCCACCAGCCGCAGCCCCGAGAGGCATTTCCAGGCTGGCCGGGGGCCACGCACACTGCTGCTAACCTTTGGGGATGCCAGAAAAACTCAAAGGACACTTCAGAGCACGCTTCAGGCAAACACTCACGCACAAAAGCTTTATTATTTAACAGCAAATTCTTTTCTTCCCCCGGCCCCCTGTGGCCGCTGGGAACGTCCTGCCCTTGGCCCCACGCCGCCAGCAGCTCCGCGGCCCCACGCCGAGGGCTGGGCTGGGCTCTGCTGCCCTGGCCCACGGCAGGCCGAGAGCCGGAGGAGGAAAGCAAAGGGGGGAGATGTAAGGGCAGAATTTCTGCCCTGACAGCCCACAGACTGACACAGCAGTGTTGCTTTGACTCAGGGAAACGCCGGCCTGCAGCCCCATGCGTGCTGTTCACCCCCAGCACGGGGAGGGACGGGCTCCAGCGGCACCTCCAGAGCACCACGGACCTCGTGTCCCTGAGCCACAGCTTGGAAACAGCCACGCTTTGACAGTCGGGTTACGAGGCTCTTAATGAAACACAACATCAACACAAAGGCACCTTTCCTTCCCGAATTACAGGGATGCCTTGGGGCTGCTGCTTGTAAACCATGTGCCAGGAGCGGGCCGGCTGCGGCCCCGTCTCGGTGCTGGCGCCTGGTCCCATCGCTGCCGCGGCCCTGGGAAGCGGCAGGCGGCCAGACCACGCTGCTCACAGCGCGGGGCGCGAGCATGCATTGTCTCGGGCTGCCGTCGCCCTTCCCGAAGAATTCAGAAGCCCTGAGAAAGAAAGGGGCAGCAACCACAGCCCAGCTCTCAGATGCGTTTGTTTGTTTCTTTAAAGGAGGACTGAGTTATGGGGAGAGAGAGGGTTTAAATAAGCGTATGGTATAAATAATTGCACCGGCTGTTTATGATCCTGAGACAGCAACACAAAACACCAGAACGAGGCTTGAAAAGAAGCAGAAAGCACCATTCAAGCGAAATCCAGCAGTTCTTGCTGAGCTCTGAAATTTAGCCTGCCTTTTTCTGGTCGGACCGATGAGCTCACCAGATCCCTGCCTCGCTTGGGGCGACAGCAGAGCTGCAGAAGCACGGAGGGACCGGCAGCAGCTCCCCTCCGTCCTTTCCACTGGGGGGAAGAGCAGCAGGCACCAACTCCATGGGATGTCACAGATGGGGCAGAGCATCAAGGAAAGGGCTTCACACCCCTGAGGCCAGGTCAGGTCAGCACCAACCACCCCGGGAAAAGGCATTGGATCCAAGGGTAAAAGAAAGCGCTTGTTTAGCCATCCCCAGCCTTCTCGTTCCCCACTCCCAAAGGTGCAAGGAGCTTCAAAGAGCTGCCGGCCATGGAAGGGGCAGGCACGGTTCAGGTGGATGGGATCGAGGGGATCTGGGATCCTTATCAGCCCGTCACAGCCACACTGCCCCTGCCCGGGATGCGGCTGTGTCACGGTGCCAGGCACGGGCAGGTCCCAGCCCACATCTGGCCCCAGCTGCCAACAGCCGTGGCAGTGCGAGCACGGCGTGGGGCCACGGCTCCAGGACAGGCTCAGGGGGAGGCAGGAGGCACGCTCCCAGCTCCAAGTGTGGGGTTTGCAGGGAGAGGGCAGGAGGTTTCTGTGCAACCTGGGTGCACCACAGCCTCGTGGAAGCAAGCGCGTCTGGCCAGAGCACTGCTGACACCTCAAGGATCATCCTGAGCACAACACGCCTGCCTCGAGCACGGGCTGCGAGCTCTGAGCCAGGACATGCGAGCAGAAAGGCAACAGCAACGGCTAGAGTTGAAGCTTCAGCCTGAGATCAAGTGGGGGGCTTAAAAAGACTTGCAGGGACCTCAGGAATGATCGGGAACATCAGGGACAATGCTGGTGCCCTGTGGCAGCTGCACGAGCCCACAGCAGGACCCCTCCGAGCTCTCCTGCCCGTGTCCCCAGGCTGCCCGCGTGGGCACCGGGGCAGCCCATCTGGGGGCCGTGCGGCACCTTCCTACAGGGGAGCGCAGAGCACTTCCCAAGCCTCATTACATCTGCCAGCAGACAGCTATTATCCTGTTTTTGCAGAGCAAAATTAAAGTTAAAACCCTGATAATGGAATTGTTCAGGGCAAGAAAAAGAAACAGCGGCAACTCTGGGTAGGGATCTCTTCATTTTAAGCCTCATTACCCTGCAGATTTTCCTCTGCAGCACCTGTCCTGATTGAACAAAGCAGAGCATTTATGCACGTACGTACTTATGTTAACAGCAGGAGGACATGCCAGGTGCTAGAGAGGCTCAACCTGGTTTTGGAAATTACATTTCAGCAGATTGCTTGGTCAGCCCAAGGGTGGCTCACAGGAGCCCGATGCATCTGTGCAAACACAATGGTCACGGGTCCCTGGGGGTGGGTGATGGGAGGCGGGTGACAGCACCCACAGCCACCACCTCTCCAAAGTGCCCGAGTTCTGACTGTAAGGGCACATAAATGGCAGACAAACTTACCTGCCAGCCGGGCCACGTTGCCGTTTGCCCAGGAGAAGGAAGGAAAACATCATCCTCATCTTCCTCCCCGTCCAGGATGCCCTGCTCAGTCCTCAGCGCTGCCCAGAGCGACTCGAGCTGCCACTCGGCATCCATTTCACTCTCCTCGAGCACACGCCTGTGCTTTGCCTGAGAATGTGCATTAAAAGCCAGCACTTGACCACTTCTGGGCGATTCATTCTCATTTCTGCTGCCCCCTCTGTGCCACACGTGGCCCTCCATGAGGCTGACACCACCCGGCTGGTGCCCGCAGGCTGCCCCGGGGACAGGTGAGGAGTCCTTCCCCGGGGACACGCAGTCGGGTTCCTCCCCGGGACCATGCAGGCTGCTCCATGGGCAGAAGAAGCTGTAGACACCTCCATCCTCCTCGGGAACTGAAGAGGACGAGGCCAGGATCTCGTGCTGCTGGCCTGGAGAAAAAGGTGGCTTCGCTCCATGTTCTGCGCTCTCCATCTCCATTATCCATGGGCAGAAATCTCCGTCTGACGAAGGCAAACTGGCGATGCAGGACCGGCTTCACTTTGTGCTTCCCTAGGGAGAGCCACTTCGTAGAAAACAATCACTTTGCTCGTCTTATTTTTCCAGAACCCCAATTTCCATTCCACCCAGTCAGAAAGGGGTGTAGAGGGGTGTAGCAGTGTTTACTCCAGACACATTTGTACTTTACTCAGGTTGGATGTTAAAAATTTCTTCTCAGAAAGAGCAGTAAGGCACTGGAACGGGGCGCCCAGGGAAGTGGTGGAGTCACCCCTGGAGGTGTTTAAGGGAAGGGCAGACGTGCTGTGTGCTTAGGGACGTGGTTCAGTGGGCGGCAGTGGTGGCAGGCAGGTGGTTGGACCCAATGATCTTCGAGCTCTTTCCAACCTTACTGATTCTGTGATCGCCTTGCTGCAACACCCAGCTTCTTCTCCACTCATTTCAGACATTTCAGTACTCTGTGAAGCCTGGATAGCCAAAAAGGTAAAAAAAGAAAAAAGGTGCTTTAAAATATCCTGTGCACACTGAACAGAGCTAACTAGCGATACAGCAGCTCGCTGTATGGTGTCCCTTAATACACCTCCTGCAGGGGATGCTGCCTATGCCGCTGCACTAGGACTGCCGCTCAGCCTTCCCCATTTATTTTGTATTCTTCATTTCTCTCAAAATAGGGAACGGCCAATACCCCTTTAGAGTGGGGAGCTCCCCGTGCCACGGCTGCTGCCCTCCTGCCTTACAGGAGGAAGGCTGCAGGCCCCGAGGCTCTCACTGACATCCAGCCCCGTCCCCGCAGCCTGCCACACGAGCAGCAGCTGATGGGGAGCAGCAGGCTGATGATGGGGAGCAGCAGGGTGGGCGGCCCAGCCGTGAGGATGTGCCTGGCACAGCGAGGCCGTAGCAAACCGAACAAAACTGCCCCTGGTCGCTGTCCCCTCAGCAGCCGCTCTGAACTCTGAAATGCAGGCGCAGGGTGACAAGGTTCAAGGCAAGTAACCGCTGAGAAAATAAAGCTTTACTCCCCACACCGGCAGGTGGAACCTTACTGCTTCTTATCCTCACTGGGACTGAGAACAAAATCTAGGAGAAACCCTGGAGATGAGCACACAGAGCACGGCCAGGGCACTGCCTCCGGGACAAGGACAGCAGCAGAGCAAGGCAGCGGCCCCGATTCCAGCCACAAGCAGCAGCCACACGCGTAAGGCTCCCGACCACACCTTCCCTTTGTGGCTTTATCTCGTCTCTGCTGAACCCCTGCCTGCTGGGCGCGGTTTGCCCCGTCCGGTCCCTTTGCTGCCCTGCAGCGGCAGCGAGTGCCCACAGGACAAATTCTTGGCCCCCAGGCCCAGGGCTCGGGGTCTTCCCCAGACCTGACCACGAGCAATGAGAAGAGTCAGCAGCCTGAGGCTGGGCTCCAAGCTGCTGCAGCCATTTATTTTTATTTTTATTTTTTGGCTAGGCAAAATAATCTTAAGATCTGCTCAGTTTTCCACCTAGCAATAAGTTGGGAAAGGTTAAAAATGAATTGCTTTGAGCGATTGCTTCACAATTTGCAGAAGTGTAAAAGGCCAGCACGCTTCAGAGCATGACCACGTTAATTGACTAATAGATGGAAATAAGCCAAAAGGTCTGAACAACCTCCAGTGCACAGTTCTAACTGAAGTTAGATTAATGAACATGTTGATTATTGCCATCTTATGGGAGAAAGAGGCACACTTAATCATTTCCTCATTGCCACAGTAAACATCGTTGAAAGTAATCTCCTTGCTCAAAATTCAGTATTATAGAAAAGGCCAAATAGGTGCAGACCCCACAGCACAAACAGGTCAGGCACAAAATTAAGAGTCTTAACGTGCTGCTTACTGGGAACCTCAGCCTCGAGGAAACGAATTCTAACTGCAAATGGCAGCTCTCACTAACCAGATAATAATTTAAAACAAACAAACAAACACAGGGCTGCCGCATTTTAAATCTCCGCCGACAGAGCAGAAATAGCCATGGGGTGGGGGGGATCACTCCCTGTGCCATGGCGGGATCCAGGATCCTGTCCCCCCGTCCCGAGGTGCCCACCAGCACGCCCAGGCTGCGTTCAGTGCCCGGGCACGCAGCGAGCTGGGCACCCAGTGCTGCTTCACCTGGTGACCCAGCTGTGAGCACGGGGCATTTCCAGAACACGTTGGAGAACACAGGTAGCGAGGCCCCCGAAGCGCTGCCCCTGTCTGCAGCAAAGTTCCCGCAGCCAGCACAGCCAGCTCCCAAAGCGCCCTTTGCACCCCTACTACACAGATGTACCTCACCTCACCGCCTCTAACTCCATTATTAGAAATATTTTTAGTGCTATTCATTTACCAGACTGCCTTCCCCCCGCTCCCTCGGTACCTTCATTACCTTCACGTTTTAGCGGCAGGGCTCAGTGCTGGTCAGACCCACTCGGCAGACTGCTGTCCGCAGGGTGCTTGCTGACACCTTGCAGCCCGAGGACTGCCTGCATCGATGCTGATTTCAAGGCAAACCAGCCCAGCTGTTTTTACGTTTCGGGTCTGTGACCAGGCAGGAGGAGAAGCAAGATTTAAGCACGAGCAAACCAATGCCACCGCTGGGTGCAGAACAGCCCCGGCACACCCAATGCGTTTTGCCCTGGGCTCCGTGCTGCCCCAGGAGGAAGCAGCGGGCAGGGACTTGGAGACTTTCACCCTCGCATCTTGCTGGTGCTGCCAGTGCACAGCTCCCCTTCTGTGCCTGGTGCTTGCAGAACCTGAGTGCTGCTGGCACCCAGGCACGTCCCGTCATCAACCCTTAGTGAGAATTGGTTTTCGCTTCCCAGAATGCTGAATGCTAGATTCCCTGCAGCACCTCTGTGTAGGACCACGGCTCAGCATGTACAGAGAAAATGCTCTTTCTGGTCCTACCTCCTAAAAACTATCTGTATAATTGGCTAGAACATAAGGCCATCGGGTATTTACATGCACCTGTAGGAGCAGCAGCTCTCTTGAGCAGAGGGACATCACCACTTACACCTTACAGCGCTGCTCCCACCAGCTTCCATTAACTCACTGATACATGCGCAGTTTCCATGCTTAGAAAAATTCTGTAGGAGTAGAGAATTCAACTGTTTCCTACTCCACCTTCCTTCAATTCCCTCCAGATCCCCAGGCACACAACGTGTTTTGGACAAAGCAGCCTCAGACAAGTGCTGCGCCCCGTCCGTGCGGGCGTTCCTCACCTCTTGCAGAGCCCAGCACTGGCGCTGGCTGCCAGCAGCGCAGCCTCTGTGGTGCTTCTCATCCACATATGACTAACCACCATGTGTTTCAGTGTTTTAATCTATGCATTTTAAAATTAAAAGGAACATCACCAGCACGAGCCTGTGAGTATCAATTAGCTGGAAGTATTTCACCTGCCTAAATCTGAAGTGCTTCAATCATGCTGCAATGCACCTGTATTTAGCTTGCTCTGGGGACCAGCCGCTTGCTGAGGGGCAAGCTGAGTCAGTACAAGCAGTGCCAGTACAGAGCAGCAAAATTTGGCTGAGGAACAAATTACAGTTTTGGCTTCTCGATTTCTTGAAGCCACGCAAGACTTCAACTCACACAATTTTCAATTCAATGCTCATTTGCACTGATGCTGACTGCTTGCTCACTGCCTTTCCAAGCGATTCTATTCTACTTATAAGAACGGCTACGCTTTTCAGTAGATTCAAGATTTAAAGGCCAAGCCACTTTTAGTGAAAAATTTCCAGAACTGATTAAAACAATTCCAATAATTTCCCCACCACAGTTGTGAGCTACAGCAGCTAGGATTCCTGGCCAAGAACAGTGCCCTCTACCCTGCTAGAGAAAACAGCGATTAAAAACCCACCACACGTAAGGGATAACTTTATTCAACTGGAGACATGAAAACTTAGGAAATCTTGTTTCCTACTTGCCTCCTGACAGCTAAAGCTTTATGGCAAGTCTTCAGTGATATAAATCCACTTCTACGTTTCACTGCTTTAGAAAATGATGGTTTCCACACTAATGGATTGCCATGGGTTTTAAAATAATAATAAAAACTTCATTATATAACCAGTATATTTCTGCATATTCTTCCAGATTTAAAATAACTCTTGACTAAAATCTCTAGTGACCAGTTGAAAAGTGAATCTAGTTAATATAAAAATAATTTCCTTCTCTTATATAAGCCAAGAGCAGTATGTTACAGAACAAGCCATCATGAGACACATCAAAGTCAAAGACAAGTAAGATAAAAACTGGGATTTTGTTTAATTCCTCTTCAAAATCAGTTTCCTTCTTTCCCCAAAGATGCTGGATCAATCAAATGTTCCCCCAATTATCTTTCAGATATGATACCACATTAAGTCTCGAGACACACTGGATATTAAATACTGCAGAGACAGAATTCCAAGGATTTCTGTAAAAGCATGGTTAAATTCTTGTGCTGAAATAGAATAGATTTTCTTCCTCAAAGAATTCAACTCACTAATCAATAGTTTTACTATCTTTCTACTTCCCTTGAATATTTCTTTTTCATATTCACAAAGCCAAATGAATATTTAAATGAATGGGAAACAGGATGCCTAAAAAAAAAATAAAGAAAAATCACATTCCTTACCAGTAATAATTTAATGGATGCTTAAAAATTCCCCATTTCCATTTTATACCCAAGCATATCAAACACCAGAGCTCCCCTCGCAGCAACTTAGAAGAGACGCACGCTGAGGTGAGAGGGAGGCAGCAGGAACAGCTCTCAGCTCCACACACGCTCGCTGATGACTGCTCTGTGACCAACGAGGGTCCCCGCAGAGTAACTGATTTTTTCTTCTCCTCTTCTCCACGCTCCCAGAAATGCAAAAATGTACTTTTAGTCCACGCATTTAAAAGTTTCTATCCCAATTACCAAGTATTTATAGTGTTTATAGCAGAGACTTCATTTTTATATATAAATATAAATTACATATATTTACACTTTAACAGAACCCACTTACATCAATTTCAGGTCTATTTGCATTACTACAGGAGAAAGGAAATCTGATACTCATTTTCAGGAAAAAAAAAAAAAAAAGAGCATTTTAACAGCAGTTTCTTCACCTCCAAGACATTCTAAAATTTCCCCTTGGACTTCTTACTGAAAATAATGGGCAACATAAATAATTTCTGTACAATCTGCAACAACCAGTTCTCCAGGTCTCAATCCCTATGCTGAAATATAAATGACTTGTATGCCTGCGTACGGTTCTCCAGGCAGGTAACATACATCTACCTACAGTGTTGGAGAACAAGCCTCCTCTCCTTTTATAAAAGTATTAGAAAAAAACTATAGAAAAGTTTCTCACATTTCATTGTAAGTACAAAGAAACAATATGCAACTTTGCATGTGTTTATGTTGGAACACTGACCATGTAAACAACCAAATGAAAGTCACATAAAATCAATTAAGAATGGAATTTGTAGGATACTCCGTAAGAGCCACCACCTTCATCACGATTTATTTTCCTTCCTTCAACCCACTTTGAAACTTTTGGACTTAAGTCCCGTTTGGCGCATTAGCATCCAAACATCCTACAGATCAAAGCTTCAACTTCTCTGTTTTTCTGTTTTTTAAATATACATTACTTTGTACTCTCCAGACACTTAGTTTTCCATTTTCAATATTCGGAGCCAATATGATGGCCAAGTCCCTTTTCCGATTAGTCTCGACTGCTTCTCCAGAACTTTTAATTCTAGAGTGGCAAAGAAAAGATTTGTAACTATCCAGTGTAAACACCGTCTCCCTCATTGGATATATGGACTAGTCGTTGTAGCTGTGGTGTGGAAGGCATTTGGCTAACACACCCTTGACATGCAAAGTGGCTGAAACATAAATACAGAATACATTGACAGGAGCAAAGACAGTTCCCTTCTGCCCTGCTCTAGTTAGTAGGAAATTGGACCCAACTTATTTTTTGCTGCAATCTGATTTCAAAGTGAAAGCTCCCAATCCTATGATGCACTGCATGTACATTTCACCACTCTACAATTGAAAAAGAACAAACACATTCTTCCTTACCAACGCATAACAGTGATGAACTTCTATTATTTCATAAGGCATATTCAACTTCAGTGAGAATCCAAGCACAAGCAAGAATTCTGCCAAGTCGTGTGATCCTATAACTTCACCTAACAACTTCTTGAAGTTCCAAGATCTCCCCCTCTATTCCTCAGGCAGAAGAATCCCTGTCACAGTGTGCATTTTTTATTCAACACAACTAAAGGGCAGGGCTAATTAAAAAAAATAATCAGCAGCTGGACTTCAGTATCTTTCAAGAAGAGGAACACACAAATGACCAATTTTGCAGTTCTCTGGCTTTATCCCGTAACCTGCTTTTTTACACCATCTCTCTCTATAAATTAATAAGAGATAAAGCCAACGATTAACTGCAGTGTTCATGAAAAACTCGCAGTCCGTATCACACAGTCTCTTCTGATCTGGCATCACTGAGGTGTAAAGGTGAGAATCATCCAGCTGATAACGAAGTAGAAGAGGAAGATAGGGTACACAACAAGAGCTTTGCGGTTTGGAGGCTGACTGTCTGCCAGGAAAGCCGTAGATGCTGGTGACAAAGGAAAAGAAAAATACTTGAAATGTGAACAACATAAAACTAAAAGAGAAAGATCCACTGCTGATGTTAACAAGTTTGAATTAGTATCTTGATTGCCATTAAGCTGAAGGACATAAAATGGTAACTCATTGTTCACTAACAATGGTCTCTAATTGTAAGTTAAAGCTAAGATTAATTTATTACATAGAAAAACAGATACCGATTAACACTGTGTAATAAGATTCAGACTTGTACATTAGGAATAGGAGAAATAATGTAAATGCACCTGTATGAGACCAGTGATTTTTAAATGGTATTTCTAACATAGGTCACGGAATAAAATACCTAGGAGTCTCACGTTAAGTTTAATATTAAATTACCATCCTCCCTTCAAGGGCAGTTTGTGTATGACCACAAAAATCAAGACGAGCATAGGCAAATGGAAGGCAAAGGCAGAAATTCTTTACTAGGAGGGTGGTGAGGCCCTGGCACAGGCTGCCCAGAGGAGCTGGGGATGCCCCATCCCTGGAGGTGCTCAAGGCCAGGCTGGATGGGGCTTTCAGCAGCCTGGTCTAGGGGGAGGCGTCCCTGCCCGTGGCAGGGGGATGGAATTAGATGATCTTTAAGGTCTCTTCCAAGCCAAACAGTTCTGTGATTCTGTGAAATGCTCAGCATGCACAGCAGCGCTACAACACACACCACTCACCTAACGTCGACCAACCAAACATGGCCATTACGACGATGAGACGAACAATGAAGCTGACGGTCCCAGAACCTGCCAGCAGCACCAGCCTGCACACCAGCATCGCCACCGTCAGGGGCAGGACGCAGTAACCCAGGACGCACAGGCTCTGAAAAAACGATCTAGAAAGGAGGGTGAGAAACGGGAAAAAAGCAGTCAGATCAAAGCATCACTGAAAATGCCATAAACTGGAGCATTTTGACTGCTCCTATACACCAGCAGCACTCACATAGTCCCTCCAAGCAGC